CCCCCCCCCCCCCCATTATAAAAGTAATGTGTCATTTTAGAAGTTTAAATATCAGCCTACAGTGATCCATACCATTCCTTTAGCTATCTCATCTAAGCCCTCATTCACACTAGTAACGGCCGGCACGTACAGATCCATGCTGTGTGCGTGGCGGTATCGGGCCGTTCCCGGGAAGGACGGGTGCTGCGTGGGATTTGTACGCAGCAGCCAGTTTTTCTCTATGGGAGTACGCCGCTGTACCCGCCCTACGCTCACCCGTCCTGCACATCCGTACGGGTGCGAGTGTCCCTACTTGTACGCTGATAGGATGGATCCTGTCTGCGTCTGAGCAGGGACACCCGCACCCATACTGACGTGCAGGTCGGGTGAGCGTAGGGCAGCATACTCGTACGCTGACAAGATGGACCCCGCACCCGTACAGACGAGCAGGGCGGGCGGGTGCAGGGCTGCGTACGGCCGCTTACTCCCATAGAGAAGGACAGGCTGCTGCGTACAAATCATAAGCAGCACCTGTCCTTCCCAGGAGCTGCCCGATACGGCCGTGCACGGATCTGTACGGGCCGGCGCTACCCGTGTGAATGAGGGCTAATAGTCCTTATGCATAGAGGTTGTTGTCGGCTCTTTATTGCTCCCCCTCCTATGTTATAGCTCTTTAGCAATTCCTGGATAGGGGCTGTGAAAAGTCCACTTTACCTTTTTTAAAAGTTTGATTTCCAGTATGTCTGCGTTCAATCTAGCTGTAGAACTAAGCCAGCCAGTGTGTCTTCACTTTTGAGGGAAGAGGAGCAGCAAGTCCTTCCTCTGAGTCATAGTCTGCAGTCTGTATCTGCTATTCCGAGTCTCTTTCCCTGATTTAGTTCCTGAAAGCTGCTTTTTTTTTCACTTTCTGGATACAAGTGATTCATGAAATAAAAAAAGAAAACCTTAATTGTGCTAGTAGTAAGCCAAATAGAAATGTAAAACAAAAACATCTACATTGCATTTAGAAACCGGATCCAACTTGTTGCAGTGCAGGAGTATAGGTTATGCCTATGGTGGAAAGCTGTCAAACATTGACATATATTGCATGTTACCATTGTGTTCATCTTAGTGTTTATGTGTAGTATACTGCTATTCTGTTATCTTCTCCACACCCATTGGTTCATTCATTTCCTGTTTGTCATGGGCCGTCGCCTGTATTTTTCTTTTAACTGACAGCTCATCTCTGGGCAAACAAAAAAGTACCCCTTCAGTGGGATTACCCCCGCTCTGCAAGGGGAGAGTGCTTGTTTTTTTTCTTCAAGGGGCTGGAATAAAAAATATTTTATTTACCTGTTTCCCGCTCACTTAGTGTTCTTTTTTGGATGCAGGTCAATGGAACCTGCATTAGATGTGATGATGTCTCTGTTCTTAGACCTCTGGAGCCCTGGGTAGAAGAGGCTGCAGATACAGGTCTAATGGCCCAGCGGGAGCAGGGATCAGATAAGTGAGGCTAGGTTCACAACTAGGCGATTGATGAGCTGTTTTCCTACGCACGTTTTTGTTTCCGCGATTTTGCTTTGAAAATCGCTCGGTTTTCAATGCATAGAGTTGTCTATGGGACCCAAACCACGTGAAAACTGCCCGAAAATACCCTGTTTCCCCAAAAATAAGACCTACCCCGAAATTAAGACCTAGTACAATTTATGGGAATTGCTAAAATATAAGGCCTACCCTGAAAATAAGACCTAGTTGTGACCATTCCCAGGGCCGGTGGTGGCATAAGGGGGAACTTGAAGAGCCGCGGGAGAAAATCAGCGGTGCCAACTAAGCCAGCGCTAGAGGAAGCGAGGCGGCACCGTAGGGAGCAGAGCCGCATAAGCTGATGTCTCTATAGCGCCGGCTACTGTCACAGTCGGACTGATACCAAATGCACCTCCGTCTGTGAGGAATCGATAGTGAAAGTGCGCTTAGCTCATTCATCTAGCCGCGCGACAATTGGCAAAGGTGTGAACAGCTTCCATAGACTTGAATGCAAATCCACGGGATAAATTACCTAGGTGTGTACCTAGCCTGAATCTGCTTTACTCCAGCCCCTACACCAAAACGAGCACCTAACCCCTGCAGTGTGGGGGGAGCCCCAGTGCAAGAGTAGATTTTGTGTTTGCCCAGAGATGTGCTTTAAGGGCCCAGTCACACCAAATCCAGTGCGTTCCGGTGCAGTTTGCGCCCGGAACACACTGGATCGCATAGATCAAGCCGGGCATTATGTCTGGATCCGCCCAGCTGCGTGAGTGACAGCTGGCTCTTCCTATCTAGAGGCAGAGCCAGCTGTACCCGCCCCCTCCCCGTCCGTTCCGCCAGTCAGCGCTGGAGGATCGGACAGGGGAGGGGTATTCCCTGCAGGGAGCTGTGAGTGACGGTCACGGCTCTCTGCATGGATACATCGAGAATTGAGCGAGCTCCGGTATGTGTCACTTCCCAATCTACTGAGCCGACCTGTGACAGCTGGTACCCCTTATGTGGCTTTAACCCCTTTGTGACTGATGACGTACAGTGTACGTCGCCAGCATCGGGGCTGTTTAAACAGACTCCCGGTGACTTTTGCCGCCGGGACTCTGTTTAAACTTGTAGAGCCGACTGTCGGCTTTACAACAGAAGCGATCCTGGCGACTTACCTGTCGCCAGATCGCTTCTGCGTCCCGAAGAAGGGGCCGGCCCCCCCCCCCGGACCCCCCCGCCGTGCTTCCCGGGCTCCGTTGCCCCTCCTACGGGCCCGGGACCGGCGATCTTTGTGTCCGCGGGGAGCTGGGGAGGAGGTCGACGAACTTCCGTTCATCGATCCCCTCCCCGTTCTATGGGACCGGGAGCGATGCAGATTGCATCACTTCCGGTCCCTGGGCTGTCAGTTCTGGGCTCCTGCAGCCCAGCTATAAGCTATTGAAGTGCGATCTGCACTTCAATAGCTTATTTCCAGTGTAAAGGTGACACTGAGGGTCTTTTGGACCCCCAGCATCACCTTAAAGAGGACCTGTCACCACCATCTGCTATTACATGGGGGGGCTTGCAAGCCCCCCCATGTGATAGCAGTCAAAGTAAAGTAAAAAAAACCAGTTTTTAAAATGAAATTTAAATAAAATAAATCTAATGATAAATTTAAAAAATGGGTATTTTGTTGTGTTTTGGGGCATTTAATTAAATTTTTCACTAAATATTGGGGTTTAATAAGGAGTTGCGCTAATAATGCGCAACATAAAAATTTGCAACTACCACCATTTTATTCTATAGGGTCTTGGCATTCAGAAAATATATAATGTTGGGGGTTTTAAGTAATTTTCCGGCCTAAAATGTGGAATATAACATGGGTACAAAAAATGAGAAAAAGGCCTCAGTCATGATGGGGTTAATTGCCTCCACTCTTCTTTCCACAAGACTTTGAAGTTTCTCTGTAGGAATTTGTGCCCATTTAGCCAAAAGAGCAATTGTAAAGTGAGGTACCGATGTTGGAGAACAAGACTCACGATCTGCGTTCCAGTTCATCCCAAAGGTGTTCAGTAAGGTTGAGGTCAGGGCTCTGGTCAGGCCATTCAAGTTTCTCCAAACCAAACTCCTCAAACCATGGCTTCATGGAGCTGGGCTTGAGCACGGGGCACAGTCACGCTGGAACAGAAATGGAACTTCACCAAACTGTTACTACAAAGTTGGAAGCCCACAGTTGTCTGACACCTCACTGCACGGCAATCGTGCATGATTCCGCGCGGATTCCGCCTGTGCATCCGAACACTAAAACAAGCAAAAGCAGAGACACCGGCACTCCAAATTGATAAGCAAACATCTATTTATTGACGTGCAGCATGACGGGTATAGCAACGAACATTTCGGGGTCGCAGAGAATCCCCTTCCTCAAGCAACCGTTGACTACCGTAGCACCCCCTTCTCGAAGGGATTTTGCGGTCAGGATTGCGATGGGACCATGGACTTCCCGAACACTAAAACAGCCGCTCATCATGTATCACAAAAAAAAGGTACATGTACCTTTTTTCTGCGATTGCCGCGCGGATGTCACTCCATTGAAATCAATGGGGCCGCGTGGCATTCGCTGCCTGCATTGTACAGGACCGTTCGATCCCGGATTGCGTAGGTCTGCATTGGGCCTAAAATGTCTTTGTATACTGTAGCTGTCACAGGAAACACCCGAACGTAATCATTATCAACATACTTTGGGCCATATAATGTATTTGAGGATTTTTTCCCTTTTAATCCGCTTATTTAAAGGAGAACTATGAGGTGGGTGGTTTGTGTCCTCCCGTTACCCTAAGGAGAACTATGGGGAAAAGCCCTAACCCCATAGTTCTCCTTTAAAGGGATCGACTACGAAGGTCTCGCAACATTAACAGGTTGTCTGGAAGAAAACCCCACAAAACATCTGTAAATGTTTAAATCGAGCGGTTGGGCCTTGCTTTCCTAGGTTTTCCATAACCCTTGGTTCACATTTAATATCTAAGATGATTGCACCCCCCTAAATAATCTCCACACTTCCAGTAACTCATCTCAGTGTGGTTAGTGTCTTCTCACCGGTTCCATTCCTGCGGTCTCTTCTCCCCCACAGTTATGTTCCTAATTACTGTTGTGGGAACTGTGGTCACAAAAAAACAAATAGAGGATCCCGCTCACATTGCACGTTTAATTAAATTTGAGAGCGATGAATAATTCCCATGCTGTTGGGTTACCAGTAAACACTCTCCAAGGGTAGGGGGTCGTAGTGTCTGGGAAACGGTGTGAGTTGTATCTTTTAGCTAGCTACACACACATTGTTCAAAAGCAAAAGTGAACCTGTCATTACAAGAATAAGATGAAATCATTCTGAATCCCTTCGAGTAGGCCCCAGAGTATGTCTGCTCAGTTTTGTGATCCAAAGTTCTCTGCAGTTCCGGAGGCTGTGAACCCAATTAGTAACTCCAGCTGCAGATCTGGCACACTATATGTGCAATGGATAGATATATTCCCAACGCGCGTCTTCCTGGATAAAGCCTGGAGTATGAGGGTGCTGCAACAAAGAACAGCTGCTTAGCCATTGTCCACAAACAGGGCCAGTGCAAGGATTTTTGCGCCCCTTCTCCCGGTGCCTTTAGGGGTAGTTCGCACCATTTTTAGTGCGTTGCGGCCCGATTCTGGCCAAAACACACTGGATCGCATTGCGGCCGGCTCATTTTGTTGTGGGGCGGGAGGGGGCGTGGCGGTCCATTGAACTCAATGGCACCGTAGCCACGCCCTCCGGCCGCAATGCGGTTGGCCGCACGGGAGCACAAGGCACATCAATGCCTGCAGTTCAGTCAGAAAACTTGTTGCACTGTTTACGTTCGCACTAGCCTGGACCACATTGCTAGGGTGCAACATGGTCAAATTACAACCCACCCCTTACCTCAGGGATGTCCAAACTCAGGCCCTCCAGCTGTAGTGAAACTACAAATCCCATGAAGCATCTCTCTCTGGGAGTCATGTCTGTGGCTGTGAGAATCTTGCAAAGCCTCATGGGATTCGTAGTTCCACCACAGCTGGAGGGCTGCAGTTTGGACATCCCTGCTTTACCTGAATTGCAGGGTTCTTCTCCCCACAGACTGCTTTTTTTTTTACGTTCGCAGGGGCTGGGGACTTAAATTTTTTGGGGGATTTTTAATTTTAGTTTATTTAACTTTTTTATTTTTTAACTTTATTAACTTTTAACTTTATTTACTTTTATTTTTTTTGCATTTTTACTTTTTTATTTAACTTTTTTTGCATTTTTTATTTCAGTTTATTTTTATTTTTTTACTTCATTGCTGTGTGCAATAGCCAGCCTGCTATTGGATATTTCAAACTGCAATAGCCAATAACAGGCTGGCTACTGCACCCACCCACTGCCTGCTTGTCAATCAGCTGAGGAGGAACCTGAAGGAGAAAGTTCTCCATCAGGTCCTTCTCTGCTGAATCACAGCAGGCGCAGTGGGCTGGTGCAATAGCCAGTCTGTTATTGCCTACTGCAATTTAAAAGAGCCAATAACAGGCTGGCTACTGCACCCACCCACTGCCTGCTTGTCAATCAGCTGAGGAGGAACCTGAAGGAGAAAGTTCTCCATCAGGTCCTTCTCTGCTGAATCACAGCAGGCGCAGTGGGCTGGTGCAATAGCCAGTCTGTTATTGCCTACTGCAATTTAAAAGAGCCAATAACAGGCTGGCTATTGCTGCCAGCTGCTGGATTGAAGACGGATTGCGGCTGACAGCAGGAGCGCAGCACAGGGGAAGGAAACTCAGATTGTCAGAGGTTTCTCCTTACTGGCTGTAATCCGCTATCTGTCCCCTCTGACACACACTGCTGCAGCCGATTACAGCCGGTAAGGAGAAACCGACATGGATCCATGAACTTTTAATAAGGCAATCGCGTCACAAGAAGTGCAATTCTGGAGATCGTGCTGCTATCCCTTTTTTGGTTTTACTATATTGCACCATGTTCTCTAATTTATACCTCTTCAATTCTCGCCTGCAGGTAAAACTAGGCCCGTGGCTTCGACCACCACAGTGAGCTCCCGGGATGTCCCACTCAGCTCTCTCCTTCAGGTCAGTCACCCGTCTCAGCACCACCAGCTTCAGAGCTCGCAGTCCTCACGTACTGTGCTGCAGCACATCACCCAGAGTGCAGCACAGGCGTCTGTTGTGGTAAAATCCATCCCCACATCCTCCAGCGGGGCCATCACTCACTTCATGCAGCAGGTATGTACTCACGTGACAGGGCGCATCATACTGGGCCTCTCTTTTTTTGTTTTTTTTAAAGAACAAGACATTTTGAGACAGAACCCCCTTTTAGGTGAACTGTATCCATCAATTGGGTATTAGTCTGTTTTATTGCTGATCGTTGCTTCTTACCTGTAGATACTTCTATAGGCCTTGTCGGCTCTTTATGAAATAGACTACTGAGTGGTAGCATAGATTCTGCCTTCGCTATGGTCACCTAATCATACTCAGGGTTGTCATATAACAAGCTGCAGATCCTACTTCAGTTTAGGCGTGCAAGCTCTTTATATACATCCTGGCAAAGGTGACAATTCTATTGCAGGGAATGCCTCCACCTTGCCCTCATGCACTGTGCAGGTTTCTGGGAAAAGCAGAGATTCTCAAAATGAGCAGGGGGATGGAAATTTACTGGCGTTTTGTATACAGTTGCTAGATATGCAAAAGAAAATACATTTGAACTCCCTTTGTGCTCTCAGAACCTGCCTGGGAGGTATCGGAACTAGAAAGGGGCATTTACTGTACTGTACTTGCTAACTATGATTTAAGCAAGGAATTCAGCAGATATTACTTTGAGCTTCTCACAGTCAGATAGAGCCCGCCTCATTTCCTGGCTGGAGGGCGTCCACTGTCATCTAGTCCCACTTCTTTCATTTATTGGATTTCGATTGTGTCAATCATGTAGGTCAGCATCACAGGTGGGTGTTACCTAGCGCAATAAGTACCGTACTATCCTTGTCGCACTCCTTACCGATATGTCCCTTGTGCTCGCAGGGGGTGCTCGTGGTGACTGCGGATGGCGCCGCAAATGTCAGCAAAATTGTAGAAATGTCACCAGCACTCCAGTCCTTTTTTAAGATGGCAAAAGCTTCATTTATTGAAGTTTGTTGTCATATGACCAACAAGTGCTTTCAGGACCGCACAGGGTCCCTTCATCAGGCAATTGTACATTGACAATTGTACAGTGATGACATACCTAGATGTGATCACTGTACAATTGTCAATGCTAAAGCCTGATGAAGGGACCATGTGTGGTCCCTAAAGCACTTGTTGGTCATATGACAACAAACTTCAATAAATGAAGCTTTTGCTATCTTAAAAAGGACTGGAGTGCTGGTGACATTTCTACAATTCTGTTTACTTGCGCAGTCTTGATGTTTTCAGGAAGCCATGTGCAGCCCCTCCTAGCAGCCATGATGCCTGCATTGTATAGAGAAGCGCACAGACACCCAGTGATGATATAACCGGGTCTACAATAGGGTATGTAATGAAAAAGGAAAGGTTTTATTTAAAAATGTCATTAGCATGTTGATGAGGGAGGAACTAGGGAAGGCAACATGTAAGCAGATCTAATCAGTTGTCCATAGCAAGCAATCGCTTCTCATTTTTCTTCTTTCCTCTGCGGGAGTGTAGAACATTTGCTATTGTATGGGGTGGGTATCGGGATGTCCTTGTTCCAATTCTGTATAATCTGTGCTTCGAGGATTCCCCTCTAAATTCTATTTAGTACACATTAGGGATGCACTGATACCGTTTTTTTTTCAGTAGCGAGTAGCGTTCTTTATATTTCGGTACTCGCCGATACAGGGTACCCATACTGGTACTTCCGTTAGTATGGAGCTGGCTACCCAGGCAATCAAGAAGCCGGGCGGCGGGTAATGACGCGCCGCCCGGCTTCTTGATTGCCCAGGAAGCTGGCTCCATGCTTCCCAGCCAATCAGCATCAAGACAGGTGTGTGGCTCCTTGTCCATTTCAGGTAATGTTACCTTGTTTGCGTTCGCAAGAGTTGAGTAGTTGTCATGTCTGCACCCGAGGTCTTCCCTCCGCTGCAGCTCACATCCCGTCTTAAGAGGTACCAGGAGATGTGCGAGAGCAAGTAAAACAATGCTGGCTGGCAGGAAGCCGGGCTGCGAGTAAAGACCCGGTTTCCTGATTGGCTGAGAAGCCGGCTCCAATCAGCGTTGTTTTACTCACCATTGGGTCAAACCGCATGGAGCCAGCCAGGAAGCCGTGCAGCGAGTCTATACCTGCTGTCCAGCTTCCTGACTGGCCGGAAAGCCGGCTCCATGTTCCCTTGCGGCACTGTCGGTCAGAGGAAACCTTACTTGGACCGGAAGTTCCGGTATAGTAGCATTTGGCGGGTACTTGCCCAAATACTTGATACCGATACTAGTACTGGTATCGGTGCATCCCTAGTACACATTCATCTTTTCTATTAGCCCGTGACAATACAATTTTTTTTTTAGACAGTGTTGACTTTAGCCGTGCATACTTTTAGTATTGGGTCCTGAACCCCCAGCACTTGGTCTGGCATGTGATCCAACAACTCTTTTTCATATGTCCTGCAGGCATTAAGCAGCCACACGGCTTTCAAAAGAACAGAGGAGACCGTGACCGAAGAGGGTGAAGTGGAGGAGATGGATACCTTAGACCCTCAGACCGGCCTCTTCTATAGATCAGCCTTGGCCCAAAGGCAACATAAACAGATTCACCTGCACCAAGAGGGGGCACACCTCCAGGTGAAGACTGTCCAATCTTTGCAGACTAAGCAGAAGCAGATCATCCAGCTACAGCCAGAGCACATTCAGCACAAAATCCAGCAAACGGCCCAACTGTCCATCAGGCAGCAGAAATTGACACCCCTCCAGCAGGAGCAGGTCCAGCAGCATGCACAGCGACATATGCTGCTAAAGGAAAGGCACATCCCTTCATTGATGTCTCAGCCGCAGCAGACAGTGGTGCAGGTGCTGGCCGTGAAAACCACCCAGCAGCTGCCAAAGCTCCAGCAGGTACCAGGACAGCAGAAGATCTACATGCAGTCTCAGCTGTCCCAGACTCCAGTGCACCTGCCTGTCACATCTGAAAAACAGGTACATTGTCTGCCATGCACTTCACAGGGTTAACATCTTAAAGCTCCACACCGGGTTGATAAATGCTCATTAAAGGAGAACTATGGGGTTAAGGCTTTTCCCCATAGTGCTCCTTAGGGTAACGGGAGGACACAAACTAGCATCATCCCTTCACCCTAGGCTCAGTATACCGCAAGCTGTAGCTCGCGGTATACTGAGACGCCGCAGCTGAAGCTGATCCCGACAATTATGTCTGGATCCGCCCAGCTGCGTGACTGACAGCTGGCTCTGCCTATCTAGAGGTAGAGCCAGCTGTACCCGACCCCTCCCCCGTCCGTTCCGCCAGTCAGCGCTTGCGGATCGGAGGGGGGAATCCAGCCCCTCCCCTGTCACGACAGAGAGCAGTGACAGGATCGAGAGGTGAGCGAACACCGATATGTGTTCGCTCACCTCCCGATCTACTGAGCCGACCTGTGACAGTCTCATTGTCACAGGTCGGCTAGAACTATGAGGTGAGTGAAAAACACTCACCTCATAGTTCTCCTTTAAGTCTATGGGTAGAGGAATAAGCTGGTACCTTATTCCTCACTCCCTTGCTCCCCTCTAAAATGCTCCGGGTTCCTGTAACTTTACCCCATGCAGTCTGGGAGGGGGTTGAATACCGGCGCTCACTGCAATGGTTGTCATGTCTTGAATTGTATTGTGATTGTAATTGTCTTCCTTCTATTGTAAAGTGCTGTGCAAACTGTTGGTGCTATATAAATACTGTATAATAATAATAATATACTATACAATATGCAATATTTTGTCTTCTATATTTATACCCCTTAGGTGACCCAGCCCATGGTATCTCAGGGATCTGCTGTCACTAAAATCACTTTCGAAGGACATCAGCCACCCACTGTATCGAAGGCAACCATTAGCGAATGCCTGCCGAAGCTCACCCCTGCAGTGACCAGTCTCCTTCCTGCCGTGTCGTTGTCGGAGAAGGCTTCTGTAGCCGACATTCTGAAGATGTCAATGATGGAAGCGGATATAGAGACCAACGTGGAACCTATGATTGTGGACCCCCCAAGCAAAGCAGCACCGATTATTAAACCCATGCCATTGTTAACTGAGGCAGCTATTCCACCCCAGGTGCAAAGGCTATCTGCCCCAAGCCAAGTGACTTCTACAGTACCTCCCCCGCCTAAATGTTTCCCCGCCCCGATAATTACAGCAACCACTTCTACGGCACTTCCTGTCCCCCTGCCGCCACCACCCCCGTTGACGAGGAAAGTGGATGTACCTGTGGCCAGCCAGATCATACAGATCCAGAATGTGCCACCCAAAAGGACTGAAGAAATTGCTTCTGAAATCATCATTCAGGTAAGCAAGTTCTCTTTTTTTTTTACATGTAGCAAAGCTCAATTCCAGCCAAAACCTGTTTAATTTTGGATAACATGGGAAGTGTTGGGGAAGTATGTGGGCACAGTTTATGGGCTGGCCTTGGACAGAGCTGCAATATGCAGCAGGTCGTGCGTTCTGATTAGCAGGCCCTGACAATCAAAGCGCAAGGGGTGTGGCTGACCGGGGAAAGACCAAGGTGTAAGCCTCACCCACTATAGGTAGCGATGATGTTATTACGTCGGCACTGCTTGTCTTGGACTACCAGGCGGCCAGTAAGCCTGCGTGTTGAGAGGATGCGCCAGTGATTGGTCATCGGGTGATTGTGAAGAATGTCACCAGCGCACCGAAGATCCTTTTAGAATCACCAAATGTTAATTTTATTGAACAAAATGGAAACGATCACTTTCGGGTAGGTATGCACCGATACCGGTAATTTGGTACCGAGTACGAGTACAGATAATTTATTTTTGGTACTCGCCGATACCAATTACTGACTAACAGAAGTCTCATTCAGGAAGCCAGGGGGCGTGTAATGACTCGCCACCTGGCTTCCTGATTAGCCGGGCAGCGTGTAAAGAGTCACCACCCGGCTTCCCGATTAACAAGAAAGTCCCCTCTTACCTTTTAGTATGTGCAGCCTGTCACCCCCGGAGCCTCTCCAGCGAGAACGTGGCCTTCCTCCGGTACCCAGCCAGAGCCGTCTGGCCGGCCAGGCAGGAAGCCAGGCACCACGTAATGACGCGACGCCCTGCTTTCTGATTGGCCGGGAAGCTGGCTTCATGCTCCCTCGTCATCTCATGACGGCAGTTTTGAGATTGAGTTATTGTTGCCTTTCTATCATCTCGAACCAGTCTGGCCATTGTCCTCTGACATCAACAAGGCGTTCTCGTCCACACAACTGCCGCTCGATGAAAATGTTCTCTGTTTCGGACCATTCTCTATAAATCCGAGAGATGGTTGTGTATGAAAATCCCAGCAGTAGATCAGCTGTTTTTGAAATACTCAGACCAGCCCATCTGGCACCAACAACCATGCCACGTTCAAAGGCACTTAAATCCCCTTTCTTCCCCATTCTGATGCTCGGTTTGAACTTCAGCAAGTTGTCTTCACCTCTAGATGCCTAAATGTATTGAGTGGCTGCCATGTGATTGGCTGATTAGCAATTTGTGTTACCAAGCAATTGAACAGGTGTACCTAATAGAAGTGCCTGCTGAGTGTATATCCTTAGCTTGAATATGCATTGACCTGTGTGCAGCCATCCTGAATATTAGGGATGCACTGATGCCGGTATTTCGGTATCGAGTACAAGTACCAATATTTTTTTTTTTTTCGGTACTTGCCGATACCGAGTACTGGAAGTCCCATTCAGGAAGCCAGGCGGCATGTAATGACTCGCCACCTGGCTTCCTGATTAGCAGGGAAGCCGTCCCCATGCTTCTTGTCACTAGGTGACGAGAAAGCATGGAGCCAGCTTTCTGGCCAATCGGGAAGCCGGGCGCTGTGTAATGACGTGGCGCCCAGCTTTCCGATTGGTCGGGAAGCCGGCTTCATGCTTCCTCCTCAGCTCATGACGAGAGAGCATGGAGCCAGCTTTCTGGCCAATCAGGAAGCCAGGCAGCGAGTCATTACACGCTGCCCGGCTTCCTGATTGGCCGGGAAGCTGGCTCCATGCTCCCTCGTCACGTCAAGTATCGGGCTAGGTATCGGGTGCTTGAAAGGGGGTACCCAGATGCAGATGAGCTGCCCTGCCCACAGACCCCCACAACCACCAGGTCAGGGTTTTTGGGAGGCCCTTGTCCCCATCGGCAAGCACTGGTAAGGGATTTTAGGGGGACCTCACGTTTTTTTTTTTCTTTTTTTGGCGTTGGGGATCCCCTTAAAATTCCTACCAGACCTAAAGGATCTGGTATGAATTGCCGGGGACCGCAGTCAGTTTTTTTTGTTTCTTGAGTCGTCTTGAAGTTAGGAGGGAGCATGAAGCCGGCTTCCCGACCAATCGGAAAGCTGGGCGCCGCGTCATTACACGCTGCCCGGCTTCCTGATTGGCCGGGAAGCCGGCTCCATGCTCTCTCGTCACAAGTGAAGTATCGTGCTAGGCATCGGAGCATTTGGGCGAGTACGAGTACTCCCCCAAATACTCTGCATCGACAACGATACTAGTATCAGTGCATCCCTACTGAATATATAATGTTTTTCACTTTTTATATTTCCAGACCATCCCTCAGTATCCCATCACCTGTCACTCCGGCTCCAACGTGGTGGTGGAACCCAGCGGACTTCTAGAGCTGAATAATTTCACAAGCCAGCAATTGGGAGACGAAGACACTGTCATTATAAACGACAGTGACATTACCAGTGATGACAGGACACAGTGTAAGCCTTCAATGAATCTAGAGCATGCATAGCAATCCTACGAACCTCTGGGTGGTCCTCAAGCAAAGTGGCCGCCAGGATATCTTCAGATGGGGACTGGTTGTGGAGTTTAGACATCATCGCTTCTTGGGAAAACAATGGATTTTCCGAATGCTTTCTCTCCAGTGTCATGTCTGGTACTGATGTAATGTAGAGTCTCCAACCACCCATTTCCTTTTATGAGCACAGTATTTAAGTCACAAGCGCATTGTCGAAGGTGTTGATACCTTGCTGACCTTATTTAAGGTTCTCCGTGGATGTGAAGCCTTCAAATCATTGAACTTTTTTACAGGTCCATTTTAATTTCCACCTGAAGTATTTTATTATTTTTTCAAGAAAATGAAAACATTTTGAGCGTTTGTTCTAGAAGCTGAAAATTATGATTATTTGGATGGAGTCCGGAAGTCTTTCTTTTGAAATGCGAGAAGATTTTCTGTAATTTATGTAAAATATAATTTTTTCTCATTCTTTGGTGGAAGCAGAGTAAGGAAGTTCTGCTTTCGATTTTCGCACAGACAGTATGATTGGTTATTTGAAGTGAGTGCAATTTTTTTTTTTTTTAATCAGAGCACCTGTTACTCGGACGGGGTGGAACAATCTTGTGGGTCAGACAGACATTGGGAAAAAATTCAACCTATTGATTCTGAAGGAACAAGTGACATCACGGGAGTGCTCTGCACTATGGTATTGTTCCTCAATTCTGCAGACTTTATACGTTACTATGATGACCACATTCTAGTGTACAAGATGCCCGCCATATTGTTTTTACATTAAGTATGGATGATTGGAGTGAAAACAAAGAAACGTTGTAAATTTTACTTGTTGTAAAATTATTGCCAATATTGGGAAACATTTTTGAAAGAAAAAAAATGACAATTTGTCAGGTAATCATGTTTTACAGCTTTTTAAAATGATTTCATTTATGGTTGGCTCACCATCCCTAGACAGCCTATGAAGTGTCACAGATCCAGCTATTGTGAACTTGCAGCAGGGCTTCAGGTGGCCGTACACTGTGTGAATTTATACCGGTTCTTAAAGGAGAACTATGGGGTCAGGGCTTTTCCCCATAGTTCTCATTAGGGTAATGGGAGGACACAAACTAGCGTCCTCCCGTCACCCTAAGCTCAGTATACAGCACGAGGTATACTGAGACGCTGCAGCCAGAACTGATCCTGACAATTCTGTCTGGATCCACCCAGCTGCGTGAGTGACAGCTGGCTCTGCCTATCTATAGTCAGAGCCAGCTGTACCCGCCCCCTCCACTGTCCGTTCCGCCAGTCAGCCCTGGAGGATCGGACAGGGGAGGGGGGAATCCTGTCACGGGTCTCTGCCGGAACAGGATCGAGAAGTGAGCGAACGCCGGTATGTGTTCGCTTACTTCCCGATCTACTGAGCCGACATGTGACATGAGCCTCATAATTCTCCTTTAAGGAGCCAAAAGTCACACAGTAGGTACCGCTGTCGGCACCCTTTTGGCTGTTGTTCTATCGAAAGCTCCAACTCATCGAAATCCCTAACTACCTCACTTCCGCTGCTCCGAAAGACTGGAGCTCTGTATAGTTGCGGTGCGCATGCGCGCATAGCGTTTTCCACATACTCGTCGAGTTTGCCACCTGCTGAATATTGTTAAAATGCAGCTGTACAGAGCTCCGTCAGTCTTTGTGTTTTGCAGTCTAATGCCGTAATGGTCGTAATCTCCACCTTACAAGTACCCGGCAATGAGGTAGTTGGAGATTTCGAGGAGTTGGAGCATTTTGATAGAACACCGGCATCACTCGATCAGCTGATCGAAGGAGGCGGGTCACAAAATCTTCGTGTGAACAGAGCTGGAAGCCAATGAGCTCCTAGCTCTGTTCGGGTATCCTGACAGCAGCCGCCAGCCATTGTCCGAATACAAAAGAAACAGCGGAGATTCCTCGATCAATGCGCTTGTAGCTTGATGGAGGAATCTGTTCTATTTTTTTTTTCATTCTGCCCACGGTTTGAACAAATAAAAATAGAGCGGTGTATGGCCAGCTTTGGTGAATGTCATGGCAAAATGATTAAAAAAAACCCCAACACATATACAGCAATCTGTACAACTCATGAGACTCCGTTCATGAAGCTTTACACAAGGATGTGGATCTTTATTTTCCACCATTTTCAATGTTATTGGACTCTGCTGAAATGAACTTTCACTTATCCTAGTGTGTTCGCCTTGTAGATTATGCTTTTGCACATTTTCTTATGTTTTGTCTCTTAAAAATGCTGCAAGCACAGAAAAATGCCTATTCCATTGAGGACAACAGAAATTCAGATAGTCGGGTTATACAGCTGCCTAGAGGAGAATCTGATAACCGCAAACATAAAAAACTGCAAGCCAGCCCCCGGTATAACCCCCTCCTTTCACAGCACGCCTCGGCTATTTGCTAGTGTCCTAAAAAACACTTTGTGCTGGCCTTTTTTCTTTGTGGGTTCCTTTTCCCTCAACTTCAATCAAGATTCCTTATCACATTGCTGCTTGAGCTGGTCTCTACATGGCAGCGATACCTCTTTTCAGGTGACTGGCGGTTGACCAGCTTTTTGCTGACTCGGCCTTGGTCTTTCCTTTTATATAGAGTCATTCCCTTTGATGATGGCTTTCTCACCCTGGCTGAAGCACCAGGTTGATTCTCTGCGCTCTCCCCTTGTTTGCAGGTTCTCCTCTTTGGTAGGTGACCCCCAACTCATCTATTCAGATACGGGCATTGATCCTTCAGACGACCCATGTGTTGTAGATGTCCCCATTCCACTTGGTGAAGCAGGTAGTCGCTTTGTTTTGGCTTTGACCAGCCCTTAGTTGGACTTCTTTAGGATGTTCCGACTGTATCTGAATACAAAGACCAGAAAGGAAATATAACTTTTGTACTTGCAAAATCCTTTTCTTGGAGTCCATTGTGGGACACAGGTCCCACCCCTTTTTTTGCGGGCCACAGGACCCACCCCCCCCCCCCTTATGATTCTGTTCTTGCCCTTAGTGCTACTTTTCCACAAAACTCAGGCGTGCTGGGTAGAGGTGGAAGGTTGTACTGGAGGCTTGCGTGCAATTATTTTCCTGTTTTCCAGGGTCTAATCCTCCTGTAGGCAGAAGTATAACCCGACTGTATTTGGATTCCTGTGATCCCTGGTGGACTTTAGGAAAAGGACTTCACAGTAAAGACAAAAATCTGTTTTTGAAATGTTCTGGTCAAGTTCTACTAGTAGAACAAACCATAGAAAAATTCTCCGGCATCCAACTCAAAATGAACCACCTGCCTGTAATCGAAACCATTAGCATATCTCTGAAACCCCTCATCTCTGGATGATATAAGTCGGTACCGATATCCATCACAGATATAAGTATGAGATCCATTTCCTTTATTACGTCAGTTGCACATTTCAAGGACCTTCCATGCAGGGGCGCCCCGAGGCCCCCGGAGCAGATACCAGGTGACACCCCCGCCATGACGGCCATCTTGGAGAGAGGAGGGGACGCTCATGCGGAGGGATAAGGTATGCCGCCGGGTCCCCTCCTCTCTCCTGCAAGTGTCGGGCTCCATGACCGAGTGCCCAACTTTTCATAGGGGTGACACCAAAATGACGGTCAATAATTTTGGTATCAGCCCTCCAATGCTATCACCCGCGTGCGGGACGCACCCGCTGTGACGCTACTGCTTCCACGACTTTTACTGACTACCAAATGAAAAAAACCGTAACATTGTAGCAGCAGATGACCTATTTAATTCCGTTGTTGGCGCGCGTGTGTTCGAGCGAATGTGTATATATAGAAGTTACTCCCTTTTTTTTCTTTGTTTTGTACAGAAAGCATAGTGAACGGTTTCATGACAAATCCGAGCTTTGTATTGTACATACTTTGTATATTTTGCATTACCGCCATTGACGGCATTTGAATCTGTAAATATCCAGAGACCTGGGTTGGTATATTTTCTTGTTGCGCACCTTCTCTCGCCCTCATTGTCTTTTGAACATGCCGCAGGATACCGAAAACTCCCAACAGCTCGGTAAGACTAGTCTAGTCTTAAGTGTCAATGGGCCCTGAATGTGTCCTAAGTGTCGATGTGCATTGCATTACGGCTTCACATTCATCATCAATGGGCTGCCAAGGCACCACAATAGAAAAGAAAATCACATGACCCTTTTTTTTTTCTTTTTAGCAACAATACAGGATGCAGGAATGAGCAAAGCACAAGTGCGAAGGGGCCCTCTAGGTAACTCGTGCCGCCACATATTTATAGGAAGGATGTTGTTGCAATCTCCTTCTGAAAATGCTAGGTGCTTGGTTGTGAATTGTCATGCTTCTTAAATCAGCCCCCCACCTCCACACCCTGAATGCTAAAACACCACATTAAAGTGCTAAAATATATATTTTTATATATACACTGTAGGTAAATATAGATGGCTTATCCCTATAGCAGAAGGATGGTGACCGCACCCTCTCCAGAACCCCTGGGGTTTTATATATTGTGAACACCAACATGGTCGATGTGCCAAATGCCATGTATAACATTTCCCACTCGGTGCAGCAGTATAAAGACCATCATCCAAAGAACGGCGATGATGGTACAACCAGCATTTGTTGCATTAACCTTTTTATTGTAGTAAAAGTGATACAAGTTGAAAAGCTGTTGAACCTCTGAAGCTAAACAGCGCTTATTCACAGATAGGGATGAGCCAGTGCGATCCCAGTTCACTGGAGTTTATCCACGCCCACTCACAAATGTGATTACCACCCCCTCCGCCAGGCCCAATCAGTTGCAGAAGAGAGCGCTCCTCACCTCACAGCTATATGTCACAAGGGATCGGGGAATGCCCCTGCCGGCACTGATGGTGGTTGTCACAGTTTTGAGCGGACTTGGGCAAACTCAGGTGAGCTCGGTTCGCACTAAGCCCAGGATCGTCTCTACTCATAGAGCAACCTTTTAGGCCCCATTCACACTGAGCGACACTCGCTTAGAGCGGGATAGCCCGACTGTTCGCAATATCGCGGCAGAAA